TTTGATTTGTAATGTAACACATACAAATGGATGAGAGACGAACGTTTCTTCATAGGAGAATAGGAAGCTGCTATGAAGACCATTGGTTCATGGGGCTCAATATTGTCTACTCTGGCTGGCAATGGCTTTCCAGGGTTTCAGCCAAGGAACATTCCCAGACCTACCTGGGCATGCCAAGGACCTGCTGCATGCAAGGCAGATGCTGTACCACTGAGCTACAGTCCTTTCCCTACGCTGTGGTCCTTCATTTTGCATCAGTGCATTCCATCACTTTGAAAAACTTTTCTGCCAAGTGAAATAAGGTGGTGGGAGGGCAAAGAGTTCAGCTCCCCTCAGCCTCATATTCTGTATTGAAATTAGACACTGCCCCTCCAATCAAGAACAGTTAAGACACGGAAAAAGTCCAGTTCATGCTTGTGAAGAACAGCATTGGCTGCACCTGACATATCTAGTTGGACCATTATTCATCTGGTCCAAAATGACACAGTAGCTGTCTCCTTCAACTCTTAAGTCGCTTTCCCCAAGACTTTATTTATGCAGCAGAAGTTTTAGGCATATCATATGAATGGTATCCAAGGTTTCCTAACATCCTGTAAAGCAGGGTGGGAAACCTCTGGCCCATGGATGTGACACAGTCTCTGGGGCCTCACTGTTTAGACTGTGCTCCCTCTTGTGCCACTCCCTCTTCCACCCCCTATGACTAGCTGCTCTGCATGTTGGCAAGGAAGAGAGGCAGCTGGGGAGGAAGAATTGCATGAATGGACATGCATTTGAATGGGTGGGTATGTGTGGGTGAGAAGGGGAGAGAGAGTGGGGTGGCTCTGGCCCCACCCACTTTTGGTTTTGGCCCCATAACACTGCTTGCACATGGTCCCTGACAGATTGAGTAGGGGAGGTTTCTCACCTCTGCTATAAAGAATATGAAATTTCCCATGAAATCACCAAATAGCATATAAAATGTCAAATACATTTTATTAAATTTATTTGTTGAATTTATATACCTTTTTGCCAAAGTGTAGATAAGATCCTGAGTGATAGCCAACTAAGTTAGAGTAGATGCATTCATTTCAATGGGTTTATTGATGAATGTGGCTAACGGTGGATATTACCTGGTGTATACTGTATTGTAGAGTCTTTTTTTTTTGGCACAGTAAGAATATCTAGAATTGATGGTGATTATTTAAAAACATATATATCAAAGGCTATGCCTTACTTCTTTGGGAAGGGTTTGCCCTTCTCTTGCATCTTAAATGTATTAGTCATGAGGAAAAGGAGATAAATCTAACCTTAGGCATCAGAATAACATCGACAATCTGCAAATGCTGGGGCAGTCAGCTGCTAGAGTGAGAATTCAGCCTGGTAAACAATGGCTGTGGGTCTATCTTCTTAGCCACAGCTGTGGCTCTGCTGAAACATGGCATTGTCCAGAGGAAGCAGAGTGAATATATATATATATATATATATATATATATATACACACACACCCCCAACTGTTTAAAACTGGGAGCAATTTGAAAACACATTGACACTCTTAAGAGCTCTGGAATTTTTTTTATTGGCTTTACATGCATGACCTTTCAGAGGGTTTCATTGTACAAAAACAATATTACCAAAAAGCCTGAAGATCCATAATAAATAAATACGCTTCTAACCATAAACGTTGTAACTGGTACAAATGGTGACATGAGCATGAGAATATTGATGTGTATAGTTATTTTGGATTCCCCCCCCCCCCGAGATTAAAAACATTAGAGTAATTTAAAGAATGGAGAGATTAGTATTCAGAAGTTTCCTAGGGCAAATGTATAGTACTGAGTCTTCTTTAAAAAGAGAAGAAAAGAAATATATAAGCTCTGGCTGAAGCTGCCACTGGTTCAAACCCTTTGAAGCCCCTTAAGTAGCAGTAATGAATAGCATCTTCTGCATCACAGCAGTGCCCTTCTTTCTTTTTTTACAACAGTCACTCTCATGAATTTTTATAAGCTTTGCATTTTTCAAAAGCAGACACAATCTCAACACACTTTCCCCACCGCATGTTTATTTTCACCATAGTGTAGATTTACATGTTGGTTTTTTCTGTTTATGTTGACATAAGTGTGGTGAATCTTGTTAATAATAAGGTCACTGCAAAACAAAAGAGCATAAATAACTGTGTGTGCGGTACTGCAACAGTAGTGTGTGTGTTAGGCATGACAGATCTTCTAGTTTTTTTCGATTTTAAGCTTCCATCTGGTTTGACTGTTATTAAATAGTAAGGATACTTTGCCTCACTCTTTCTGCCCTTCCCACAATATCTTTGAGCAGACCTTGGTTCAGTGGGTTTATCAAGGAAACACAGCAAAGAATTTGCCAAGCATTGCTGCTCAGCAGTTTCCGTTCAGTTCAATAGGGCTTGAAGGGCAGCCCAGCCCCAGCCTGATTAAATAGAATGGCAGCTGTGCACTCACATTATGGTCAGGTTGATTGTCGCAAAGTACTAAGCATTTAGATGGCAGTCCTATGCTCAGTTATGCTTCAGAGGGACTGGGGCTGCCATCCCTAAGCACCAGGGACTAAGCCTCACTAAGCTTGTTGGGCTTTATTACTGAGTAACAGGCATAGGGTTGTGTTGCACTCTGTGTTTGCCAAGTGGATTCAGGATCTCAGACATAATGTGGATCTTATTTGCTATCCTGAAGGGGGATCTTTTGATGATCTTGATGTCATAGACACCAAGCTCTGTGAAGAATGCTTGTGAGTGGAAAATGACTGTTAATGACATTTCCAAACATAGATCCCAAAGTTTGACACCTACTGTAATAACATAAATAAAAGTGACCTAATTTCACTTTCTGTTTATTTGCACTGATGCTGAGCAACCATATGCACCCACTGCCAAAGCTAATTATTCCTCCTGTATTTAAGGGTTTACACCAGACCTTATTTGAGTTACTATGGGAGTCTATAAATTTGCAGCCACTCGAAGGATAGGTGTTTAAATATTACTGAGAGCGTTTCAGCATTCACCAAGCATAACTTTCTTGATTATCGCATTAAAAGTACTGTACTAATGGAAAGGACAGTTCCCTGCCCCCTTCTGTCTCAGTGGTTTTTTTTTTAAGTGGATTTGTTGTGCCAGAGTTCTTTAGTCCACTTGTGCAAACCCAGTGCTTTTTTTTCAAAAAAAAAAAAAAAGGTTAGGGGTAGTCTCATTTTAATTCAAGAAAATTACTGTTTTATAGTTTAAATTGAGAAAAATAAATACAGTAAATGGACAAAAGTACAAAGATTCACAAAATGTTTAGCGGTATGCGTACCCCTGAGCACCCCCAGGAAAAAGCACTGTGAAAACCTATGTGTGTGTATAGCATGCACACACACACACACACACACACACACAATGCTATCCTGCAGGGGCGCCAACTTAGGCCACAGATTATGGCTCCCTAATTGCACCCGTGATGTAACAGTGTCATGACATCATGACATAAGATTACATCAACGCACTGCAGCGGCATTTCTGAGGTCTTGCGGCACCTTGGAGATCACGTATGAGGTCTCGCGAGACCTCCGACATAACTTCCGGTTTGTACCAGAAGTTGCGTCCTGATGTTTCCTCGGGGGTCGCGTCTGGCTTCTGACGCGACTTCCGGTACAAACCGGAAGTCATGTAAGAGCCTGTGCTGTGGGGTGCCCAGGCCCCCAGGGCCCCCTATAGTTGGCACCTATGCTATCCTTAAAGAATTATAGGTGTAGACGTGTACTTGAAAAATATCCAGTAGGCAGAACTGCTTGGTTTTGCTCCTCTTTAAAGAGGCCAATGAACTGCAAATTGAAGGTATCTAAATCTTTGTTGGAAGCCTTTATGTGAGAACTAATCTTATTGCTGCTTTCCATCATCCATTTTCTTTTTAAACACAGAGCTAGGTTAATAATAGAATAGTTGGTGTCCCAGGAGTCATCCTCCAGCAAGTTAATGGCCTATCCACTGAGCCTGAAGACCTGCTTATAAAGGTTTTAGCTTGAGAGATTCAGGTATATACAGATTAGATTAATAGGAATGAGTTTTTTTAAAAAAGGATATTCTTTTCTAGAAGAAATGTACTGTATTGCAAACTTTATCAAAAAATATATATTCTTAGAAAGCATAGTATTTTAGTTTCAAATTTGGAAGCTTGTATGTGTGTATATGTAAGGCAGTGATGGCCAAACTTGGCCCTCCAGTTGTTTTGGGACTACAACTCCCAGAATCCCTAGCTAACAGGACCAGTGGTCAGGGATGGTGGGAGTTGTAGTCCCAAAACAGCTGGAGGGCCAAGTTTGGCCATCACTAGTGTAAGGAAACATAAAAAAGTAAAGGAACCTCTGACCATTAGGTCCAGTCGTGGCCGACTCTGGGGTTGCGGTGCTCATCTCGCTTTATTGGCCGAGGGAGCCGGCGTACAGCTTCCGGGTCATGTGGCCAGCATGACTAAGCCGCTTCTGGCGAACCAGAACAGCACACGGAAACGCCGTTTACTTTCCCGCTGGAGCGGTACCTATTTATCTACTTGCACTTTGATGTGCTTTTGAACTGCTAGGTTGGCAGGAGCAGGGACTGAGCGACAGGAGCTCACCCCGTCGCGGGGATTCGAACCGCCGACCTTCTGATTGGCAAGTCCTAGGCTCTGTGGTTTAACCCACAGCGCCACCCGCATCCCGTAAGGAAACATAGCAGCACAATAAACAAGGAGTTTCAACTTCATATGAACTGATTTTACAGTTTTGATATATAACTTTTGCTGTTCCTATTATTTCTGAAGAGGTAAGTTACAACTGGTATTAGTTTGCAAGATCAACATGAGCTTGATGTTGCTTGCAAGATCATTTCAACAGGATTCTCCTTGTCTGTTGCACAGCAAATAGGCACTGTGCAGCAGTTGTGAGTGCTGGATTACTCCTATCATATCTTGATGTGTGTCTTGATGGGGAGGGAGCAGAATCACTTTTTTGATATCTGATAGTGTTTTGGGTCATGGCAGGATGAGCTCGATGAACTGCGGGCTGAAATGGAAGAGATGCGTGACAGCTACCTTGAAGAAGATGTTTACCAACTTCAGGAACTTCGACGAGAGCTGGACCGTGCAAACAAGAACTGTCGCATTTTGCAGTATCGTCTCAGGAAAGCAGAACAGAAAAGCTTGAAAGTTGCACAGACGGGTCAAGTGGATGGGGAGTTAATTAGAAGCTTAGAGCAAGATCTAAAGGTGAGTGAAGGCTTTATGCATAAAGACATCCAAGTTAGTCATGGAGCTCTGCACATGCTATCTGCTATAGGCAAGTCAGAATCCCATGTGCAATTGGCTGCTACGTTGCCTTCAATAAAATCCTTGATAAGTAATTGGTAAAAGCCTGTCACATTTCACAGCTGTGTCTGAGTATTTGGTGGGGGGAATGGTTTCTGTGAAAGCAATCTGGCACAGGCAGATCTAAAGACTAATGGAAGTTTTTGCTGATAATAATAATAATTAATAATAATAATAATAATAATAATAATAATAATAATAATAATAATTTATTTATACCTCGCCCATCTGGCTGAGTTTCTCCCATCAGTTAAACCGTTAAATATAAAACTACCGAACAGGGCTGCTTAAGGTCTTTAAAGTAGGATGGCTATTTCCTTCACATCTGAAGGGAGGTGTTCCACAAGGTGGGCGTTAAGGCCCCTGTCGGTTCCTGTAAACTTCTCGCAATGAGGTACGCAGAAGCCCTCGGTGCTGGATCTCAGTGTCTGTGAACAATGGGATGGAGACGTCTTCAGTATACAGACACGAGACCGTTTAGGGCTTGTCAGCAACACTTGAATTTGCTCGAAACGTACTGAGCCAATGCAGATCTTCAGAACCGGTTTATTGGTTCGGCGCTGCTTTCAGTCAAGTCTAGCTGCGCATTCGGATTAATTGCAGTTGGTCCCTTCAAGTAGAGCCCGTTGCAGTAGTCAACGGGAGATAACAGCATGCACCACTTGGCAAGACAGTCTCGGGTAGGGTCTTAGCCTGCGTACAGGGAGTGGTAGACAGTGCCCTGGTCACAGAATTAACCGTGCCTTTCACCCATTCAGGACCAGAATCCCCAACCGCCGCCCGTCCTGTCTGGTTCCTCTGTAACCTGCACTTCCTTCTCGCGAATGTCAGGGTACCGCTCAGAGAAGGCCCTCAGGAATTGCCTGGATCTCAGTGTGCCCTGGCTGTAACAATGGGGGATGGAACAGACATGTCCTCTGATCCAAAGGGCAGGACTATAACTAACAGGTGGAAATTGTTAGAAAGCAGATTTTGGCTAAAATGTCAGGATAAACTTCCTGATGGTAATAGTTGTATGACAGTGGAACAGAGACTGCCTTGGGAGGTGTTGGGTTCTTCTTCACAAGAGGTATTTAAGTAGAGGGCACCTGTCAGTTACAAAATTTCTATGTTAAGCAGGAAATTGGACTAGATGACATTCAACTCTATATTCCTCCCAACTCTAAATTATATGCTTTGAATATTCCCTGCATTTGGAAACCTAGCATTTTATGAGGAGGTGTAGGCTATGAAACCCTCCCAATGAAATACTAACTTTTCACCTGAAAGGAGCCTTGGTTGTTCAGGAGCAATCAAAAAGGCTTCACTCACATTCTGAAGTAGGGGACTGATTGAAGATGTATACACAATAGATGCATCCAAACTGAGCCATGTTTCCCACTGCCTAAACTGAAAATTCCCTAATTCTCCAAATTGTGCTAATCATGTGTGCAACTTGGTTTTCAGAAGACTTTCTGTCTTCAGTATGTACACTTGATCTGTAAAAAAGAGATTTATATACATATCTGTGCTGTGCTTGTTAAAAAAAGGGGGGGAGATAGAGTTTTAGGTATGCTTAATCTAATTAATGAAATTATTTGTTATTTAATGCTATAATACCCTAAAATTGTATGCTAGTATTATAACGTAGACTTAGTTAATGATAAAAAAAGGTAAAGGACCCCTGACAGTTAAGTCCAGTCGCGGACAACTCTGGGGTTGCGGTGCTCATTTCGCTTTACTAGCCGAGGGAGCTGGTGTTTGTCCGCAGACAGTTTTTCCGGGTCATGTGGTCAGCATGACCAAGCCGCTTCTGGTGAAACCAGAGCAGTGCACGGAAACGCCGTTTAGCTTCCTGCCGGAGTGGTACCTATTTCTCTACTTGCACTTTGACATGCTTTCGAACTGCTAGGTTGGCAGGAGCTGGGACCAAACAATGGGAGCTCATCCTGTCGCGGGGATTCGAACCGCCAACCTTCCAATTGGCAAGCCCTAGGCTCAGTGATTTAGACCACAGTGCCACCCACGTCCCCTAGTTAATGATACTGATTAATTATTTCCAGAGCTGTTAGTCTCTTGCAGCAAAAATAATAAAGATTTTTGTGGTACCTTAAAGACTAACTTTTTTTTAATGGCATCTGATTTTGTGGAGTATAATCTACAACTTCAGGAGGCAGTGAGGGGGGTTGTTAATGGTGAGAGTCAGAAGGTAATGAAATGCAGAAAAGTGCAGGCAGTGATAATTACATTATTTAGCAAGTGGCCTTTCACAAAAAGACAGTTTATGTTAATAACACAGACATCCTGGTATTGGTAAACCAATTAACACATCTAGTGGGTTAAAAATCTATTGTGCCAATTCACTTTACAAGTGATAGCACTGAAGTTCTTGATGATGTGCTATCTGTATTATAGAATGGCCAATTTAAAGTAAGCTGCAGAATGTCCTGGCAGGTTTAAATGCCCCTCCATTGATCTCCATCCATTTCTGCTGTCAGGAAAGCTTTTACACCTTGAGTTATTATGCATTTATATTTTCAATTTTGTTAATGGAAAATGTTTTTAAGACTGCTACTGCTGTTGCTACTACAAGATATGTTTGTATACTCTTTTTTGAATAGGTAGCCAAAGATGTATCCGTTAGGCTGCACCATGAACTGGAGAATGTGGAAGAGAAACGAGTTAAAGCAGAGGATGAGAATGAAATCCTTCGTCAACAAATCATTGAGATGGAAATATCGAAACAGGCACTGCAAAATGAGCTGGATAGATTGAAAGAGGTAAGTAGCAACTGATGAGAGATAACTAATGAGAGGCTTGCTAGTAAAAGAAATCTGAAATGCATTTGAAACAAAACTCACTGATAATATAATTCCAGCCAACAAAATACCTGTCACTTTATACCTGTGAGTGACAGCATCCCCCAACTTGGTTTTTTGCTTTGTCCAATAGCCTCTGTATTCTAGAAATCCATTGTTTCTGACTCAGAGATCCTCTGGTGCATCAGAGGGCTACATGCTTCTTGGCTTCATGTGAGATCTTATTTCTCCCAACCACCAAGCAGATTATTGGTGCCGTTAGTGCGTTGTGTGAATGGGTTGTCCTTACTATGTAGGAATTTGTTTCTATAATGCTTGCTTTTCTCACATTTGAAAGTTATTCGTCATATTTAATGTTCCTTTGGGAGGACTGAATACATCTGGAGGATTTAAATCAGAGATGTTAATTGAGACATGTATGGCTAAGCTTCTGTTTAATACCTCATTGAAATCTGGGGTGGGGTGGGGGATGCTGCCAAGCAGTAGAGAACTGGCTTTATGTACAAGTAAGAGTTTGTATTAGAAAATTATTTACATTGTACATCCAGCCATAGAGTACTTGTTCTTTTATTTGGTATCTAAATAACTATTATAATTAAATTAAATTGTACAAAGGGATGATTGCATGACTGGATGAAAGAAAATGAAATCCAAGCACAGTTTCTTGTCATTACATGGTATTGTATGGTGTAGCATCCTTCCTCTTGTGCCAGCACAGATCGTTTTGGCAAATACAGTCTTGGGTTGTTTTAAAACCAGATTGTCATGGGACATTTGACACACTCAAAAACTAGCCGTGACTTATTTATTTTAATCTTTCAAACAATACTTAAGAGAAGTAGCATGCTCAGGTCTTCTATTCTATAAATTGGGCAAAACATACTTAATTTCTTTGTGCATTATGGTTAAAAGAAAAGCTGGGTTTTGCTGAAGCTCTTGATCAATAGACCTGAATATGCTTACTTAGTTTATTTGAAAAAAAATCCTGCCTCTAAACTTTAACTTCCAGGGAATGTACAACATCATTAAAACCTATATAATAAGCCAAATAAACAAACCAACAACAGGAGAGTCAGCAGTTAAAAACAGTCAACACAATAAAGCTTTTTAAAAGACATAAGAACAGCAGAACAAATATTTATAACACCAGTAAAAATACACTTAAAATTTTCTATAAACAGCACTGAACTCAGCTGACATTCATTAAAAATGATTATGGACAGAGGGAGCCCCTTAATAATTCAGGCACCACAACTGAAAAGGCCCTGTATCATGTCACCTCCTATGTCACATTCAAAGGTGGGGATATTCTTAAGAAGGCATCTGATGAAGATCTTGATAAAGGGCAGGTTCAGATGAAATCCATATTGATAGCTCAGCTGGCAGAGCATGAGACTCTTGATCTCAGGTTCATGGGTTCAAGCCCCACATTGGGCAAAAGATTCCTGCATTGCAGACCCCTGGACTAGATGAACCTTGTGGTCTCTTCCAACTCCAAAATTCTATGATTCTATGTCTTTGTCAACTGTTTGCCTACTGTACCATAGCAATATATTTATTATTAACCACACTTTGTGCAGCTTGTATGACAGAAAAAACAAGAAGAATTGTTGTATTCACTTAGTAATAGAATGTAAAAAAAAGAAGTAAAAAGCAAGATATGTGAGTCTGTAAAATGAAGCACTTATATAAAACCAGGGAATGGAGGAACTGAAATATAGTACTTACGTGTTTGATTTCCAAAGGCATTTGTCAAAGAAGGTGAGTGACACAGTACAGAAACCAGTGTTATTCAGTCTTTATTTTAGTTGTTATATTGGCATGCCACATTTGTGCCTGCTGTGACACTGAAGGTTGCTCACAAAAGGTAAAAATATCTAGCGCAAAAAATGCAACAATAAAAACAATAAGGAGCAAATGAAAACTAGACATATAGATGGATGAAACTATAAAAGCTTGACTGAGCAGAACAATAACAGAATAAGCAATCACATTTACATTATTACCTAGTAACTAATACAATGAAGAGAAAGCTCAGGTGAAGATGAGAGCCTTCATCTGGCAACTCATAAAATAATAAAGTACATCTACCAAGGGAAGGAGTTTCACAGTTGGAGTCCAACTGCTGAGGTAGCCCTGATAGATCACTACTTATCCTCTGAAGGTGGTGAAACGTAAGGACAGGCTTCCCATAATTAGCTCAGCTGCTGGGCTGGTTTGTATGGGAAGAAATCAGTATTCCAAATACATTTACTCTGGACTGTTTGGGGCTTTAAATGTTAAAAAAATATATAGTGAGTTGAATTATGTCCATGGTTAAACTGGAAAACAGTGAAGCTTTCTTAATTCAATATGTTCATTGTGACATGACTGGCTGTACTTCTACTTAGTTTCCAGATGGTAGTCTTGGAGTTGGATCCAGAAAACTGTTCAAGCACAATCTGTTGGTTTCCGACAGCACAATGACTTATTGACATGGAGAGATCTCTGTGGGGAGTGATGTGCAGTGAGCTGTAGAGCCGCTAGGTTTAGATACAGTAAACAAGGAATTTGTATCTTATGTTTCTTGAGAATTCTTATATACCACTTTATGGTCCTGAGAGGTTCTCCAATTGGCTTACAAAATATTTTCATAATAAAAATCACTTTTAATTACATATGGCAGGCATGTCCAGCCAGTAGATCATGATCTACTGGTAGATCCCCAGCTGATCCTAGTCGATCGCGGGACCCTTGCCGATTGTGGGATTAAATAAAGTTTAACAAATAAAAACTGAAGACCTTTGGGCCATCCTGCCCCCCAAAAAGCTAAACAACTCTGGCCAATCCACCCACCCACCCACCCCACGCACGCTCCTCCTCCCTCCAATGACAATGGGTATATCACTGCCAGTTTTTTTTTATACTGGGAGTAGATCGCAGTCTCTTGGGAGTTGGACATGCCTGACATATGGTATCAGGAACAGAATTAATGTTGTGAACCTATTGTGCAGAGTCTATTTACGTGGCATTTCCAGCCCTCATTCTTGTTCTATAGTAATTAGCAATTCATTGCCACGTGCTGGAGCAGAAAGTAGCCACATGAATCTGTTCCTGTGCATGGTACTGTAAACTTGTGGATAAGAAAAATGACTGTACTGTGGTACCTCGGGTTAAGTATTTAATTCGTTCTGGAGGTCCGTTCTTAACCTGAAACTGTTCTTAACCTGAAGCACCACTTTAGCTAATGGGGCCTCCCGCGCCACCGGAGCACGATTTCTGTTCTCATCCTGAAGCAAAGTTCTTAACCCGAGGTAATATTTCTGGGTTAGCGGAGTCTGTAACCTGAAGCGTATGTAACCCAAGGTACCACTGTACTTCTTCCCACCATTGGGTTGTTGTTGGAATTAGTGAGAGAGGGATTGTAAAACTTTGACTAAATTTGTTCTTTCTTTCAAAGTCATGTGTTCTGCAGAATATAATGTAGAATGTGTGATTACATACAAGAATGGCCTAGTTAACCCAGTGCCCAACACATCCACAATTGTAAGGGGACAGCAGCAAATGAAAGTAGTCCTGAACCATCACTTGGCATTAGCCAACCTACTTCTCTCAGGTTTTAGAGAGGCTGGGCTTTCCACCCTCATTTTTACAGCCAGTTCCTGACCTTCGGGCACAGATAATCTGAAAATCAGATAAACTGTTTCCGGATAATCGGGAACTCACTGTAATTGAAAGATGCTATTTCCCTCCAGGATTATTTCAGAGATGCAGAGCTGTGAAATAACCATGTTAGGCATGCAGGGATGAAAGCTAATATTTTGTAGCCTTAGAGGGATCAGAGAAAGATTCCTTTCAAGGACTATTCAGTAATGTTTTTATAATAATAATTAAGAAACCCTTCAACTTTTGCTGTATATAGTATATGCAGAGGTGCTCTTGATAGATTTGCCCCAATACTTCTTTTATAATAAAAAGGTGATTCATTCCTCTCAAAGTTACTATGTGTTTAGTCACTGATACACATCAGTATTGTAATAAAAATCAATAATGTACATTTTTGATGAAAACAGTTTAGAAGTTTTTATGATTAAACAGTATACAAAGTTTATTAAGTAAAGAAAAAATGCATACCTACAGCAATCCTGTGATAGGTAGGGTTGCGTCAACAAGAAGGGTTGTCCTTCTGCCTTCTGAAAAGGGAGGTGAGTTGTTTCCTCCCCCCAAAAAATATTTTTATTTGATTTACATAATTTTACAAAGGAAGGAAAAGAAAATACAGTGTAACAACAAATAGCACACCACAATTATCCCCGCTCCCTGTCCTGCAGTTTTACCAAGTCAGTTGGAGATACTTACACTTGTTGGTTTTTGTTTTATTTGTTTTGTTCTGAACTACCCCTTCTTTCATTTGTGCCAGTGTAGATATGGACCCTTCAATGTGCATCCTGCTATGGGATATCAAGAAACCTTGCACAGGATTCAACAATTCCTTTTCAGTATGCAGTGGAATTAGTTGACTGTGTAGTAAGGGAAGGAAGAAGAAGGGGTCCTTCCAAGGTTTATTCCACCAACACTACAAGGTGATCTGAGGTCTTCTCTATTTCCAGGCTCTCTAGCTCTTTTTGGGTGTGCTCTGCACACAAGCTTCTCTGAATTCCATCTCTGAACTTTGTTTCAAACAGCTCTCCTCTTGGTGCATTTTTACCCAATTCTGGAATATTGCTTCTGGCTATTTCTCAGTTGCTGCCTGCATGGTTGAATATTTTTGGCACACCAGAGCTCACCTACAGATGAACGCATTCTATTCTGTGACCAGAAGGTTTATTAGAACACAAATTGGCAAGCAAGATGTCAAGTAACTGTTTGCTGATGAGAATTTGGTGATCAGAATTACTCAACATTTTGCAATTCGTTCATTTTTCTAAAAAAAATATTGTGCAGTATATACTACATGAGCCGCATTGTGCTCTTATAACAGG